AAAAGAAAAACAAAGGGTTATGATCAGCACCTTGTCAAAAAAGTATCCGGCAGCTACTGAAGTCTTAAGTGAACAGATCGTCTTATTTAATAAATATTATTCTTATATGAGCTACTAATTATTATAGCTATAGCTAGTTGGTGGTTGAAATCCTGGATTAATCCAAGAAATTTATGAAGACACTCCAAAAGTAGATACTGCAGAGTTCTAAGCACGATAAGAATAAGTTCTGCAGGTTGAAATATTTCATTTTACAGTATTCATTGAATTACATCGTTAATGCATTACTTGGTCATAGTTAGTTCAATTTAAGAAGATACTTCAGTTCGTCTGCCCCCACCATTATTTTATACAGTCAAGACATGGCAATGTTGACAGGTTTTTCTTTCGTAGTAATTTGGGAAAACTACTCTCTAAGTAGGAAGGACAGAGGTAAAAGTCACAACAAACATGAAAGGAAAACCTATGATATGGCCTGGTTAAGAATGTATTACTAGTAAGTGAACATTGTTATTACTTGACACTTTAAAAAGAAAGTGGGCTTTCTTTATGAAGATTTGTAATTGTTACTGCAAAAATGAATGTATCCAAGCTCATCACCAGAAGTCCTTAAGTAATTATGCTTCAAAAGTTACATAAAACGCCTTTTATCTGCCGCTTGAATTTTCTTCGATGCACAGAAAGTATAATAACATGAGATCCCACGTTGATTGGAGAGGGGAACTGAGGCATTCCTTATAAGGGTATCAAAACTTCTCCCTAGTAGACGCGTTTTAAAACTGAGACCGATGACAATACGTAATGGGCCAAAACGGACAATATCTACTAGCAATAGGCTTGAGCTATTACAAATGATATCAGAGCCAAACATCGGGTGGTGTGCTGAGCTCCCAAGAGGATGGATGGTGAGAAGCATTCCTTATAAGGGTTGGATTGTGAGATCCCCACATTAGTTAGAGATGGAATAAAACATTCCTTGTAAGAGTGTGAAAACTGCTCCCTAGTAGATGATACGTTTTAAAACCGTGAACTGACAACAATATGTAATGACCAAAGTGGTACGGTTTTCCTTTTCTTTTCCTCATTTTACCAAAATAATGACATGCAACCCATATACGAAAATGTCTCTTTCCAGATAAGGTGCATATGGTCGATACCTTAACTTACTCTGGTTTACCGGATACCAAACTTAGATCGTAACACATAAACTTATATATAAGAACTAAAATCTTTCTGAGCCTAAATTTCACAGCAAACAAATAATACAATTTCAGTTCGCCATGAACATGGCTAATACATTAACCATGTATGATACTAACCAGGCAATCCAGACGGGCATTAATGGTTTCAATATCTTTTAATGGCTGCAAAAGATTGGCACGAAGAAGTCTAGACCTGTAACAAAAACTTGACCAAAATTGCAGTGAGAGAGTAAAGCATAAAATGTTGAGATACGAGCGGGATTAAAAACATTTTAGACGAGCACTTGGCAATAACTGCATATCAAAATAATTTTTTCCCTTTGGTCAATTACATGTCATCAAAACTTCCCGCCCCAAGATAAGATGTAATAAATGAGAGGACTTCAAATACTAGTTTAGATGATAACACGAAGAGGGAACAAAATAAATTTTTGCAGCAATTGGTAGACAAATGAAGAAAAATATATCAACATTCCTAAGGTATCCTCGTATAAATTTTTGCAGCAATTGGTAGACAAATGAAGAAAAATATATCAACATTCCTAAGGTATCCTCGTACCCTCCTATAGTTTTATTGGTAGACAAATGAAGAAAAATATATCAACATTCCTAAGGTATCCTCGTACCCTCCTATAGTTTTTGTTGTCTTGAGCATGTAATAAATGAGAGGACTTCAAATACTAGTTTAGATGATAACACGAAGAGGGAACAAAATAAATTTTTGCAGCAATTGGTAGACAAATGAAGAAAAATATATCAACATTCCTAAGGTATCCTCGTATAAATTTTTGCAGCAATTGGTAGACAAATGAAGAAAAATATATCAACATTCCTAAGGTATCCTCGTACCCTCCTATAGTTTTATTGGTAGACAAATGAAGAAAAATATATCAACATTCCTAAGGTATCCTCGTACCCTCCTATAGTTTTAGTTGTCTTGAGCATGTGGAACAGACTTCTCTTCTTGTTGCTTGTTCCCCAAAGGTTGGAGTGAAGTGGCTCAATAATTTCTAAATTCTGAACACTGTCAGCATATAATTCAGCATTAATCAGTAATTTGAAACCAACACTTTGTGGCCAATTCTCAAGAAAATGTTCTCCGAAAAGTATGAAAAATATAAATCAATGACTTGGACATTGATATTGCGATCAGCAGTAACACATATTTGAAAAGAAAAGAGTAATGGAGGGAACCTCGTTGCATCAATGCTCACATGATCAGATGAACCATTAAATGTGACCTAAAAGTTACAACTGAGAACCATCAGGATGAAGTAAGAACTCCAGAAATAAATGAACGTCTCGTTCATATTCACTCCGAAGACTAATAAAAAATGAGGTTCGAAGTCAGAGAAGCAACATTATTTTAAGCCTAGTTCCTAAAGTTAGTTAATTACACCTCCACAGGACAGAATCTTTAGTCCTGTTCAGAGTACTTTATCTTTCAAAACACAAATCTAGAAAGTAGAACAACAAAAAGTGAAAGAGGAAATGAGCTGCTAAGAAAATTGAAATCCCATACCGAATTAAAAAACTTATAAACAAAGAGTCAAAATGATTCGCGACTCAACCAATGCACAGTACAAGCCTTGTCTAGAGGTTAGAATAAGAGGAAATAAGGTGCATCCGTTCTACGCACTCAATCAAGAGGAAAGGAAAGAAAATTAAATTAAATAATTTCCCAGCATTAGGTCAGCAATCTTGTACACGAGAAAACTGGGAAGAGTACTTAACCGAACTACAGAAACTTGACTTTTCAATTCAATTATATTGGTCACTACGAGATCGTTTGTCTTACAGCGAAATCTCATTCAGGCATCAGGAGAAAATCAAACCATTGAATTCTATACATTACCATTTCAGAAAGGCAAATTTACCGTTAAAGAGTGATTGGTCACAATAACCCCCTTCTCTGCTTCTATCCTGTGCATCAAGAAGCTGGATCATTAGTCACAACTAAGCATTAAAAAAATTCTCTCTTCTTATTAGTTAACTATAGATAACACTTCCCATATGTGACTTATAGAAGGCTGAAGTTCTGAAAATACCATTTAATGCTAGCAGCAGCAGCAGCCAAGCAGAGATAGTACTGTTTGTAATAAGTTTCCAAACCAAGAGCAGAAGGCTCCTTGGCTGCCAGATTCTTAATCAAAACAGCACCCTGGAAAGTTCGACTAAGATATGATCTGAGCATACTGATTAAAGAACAGCATCCAATATAATAACCATATGAAACTGAGTGCATAAAATAAAACTTTAAGAGAGGAAAGAAAAAGGAAAATGCCTTTGTGTCGTCAAAGCAACCACGAGCCATTACAACCTACAGAGTTTTGCATTCAATTTAAGTTTCTCTGTAAAAGTAAGCAATCTTCACTGACACTGCATGCTGAGTGAAGTAGTTACGAACTCGGTGAATATGAACTTACCTTCTTCACTGTAACATAAAATTTATCTACCAAAACAGAAACTCCAACCATGCCATCAGGTGCGAGCTTGTTGGGAGGAACTAGAATCACCATTGGATCATAGAAATGCAGCAAAGTTTTTGTATTCTGGTAGGAGCTGCTGGTCTCTATATATTGAGAAAGATGAAGTGAAGCTGATCTCAAATCGAACGCAGCAACTCCAACCTATCAGGAGATTGATGTCAATTAAACTATTCTCCTATGCTGGCAAGCGAAGCTTAATCTTCGGTTAAAACATACATCGTGACAATTTCTTATATGGAAAAATGAAGTAAACTCAATCTGTCTGGTTCTTAAAAATTGGAGTAAATATTCAACTATGAATCATTCCAGTTTTCTAAAGAATTATCTACTTAATACCAAACACAAGTTCCAAAGTGCATCTCTCAGCAACATAAATCATTATTTCAGTTCTCAATCAGTTCATACAAACGCATTTAAACTAAATAAAATGCTAACAGAGCAATGGTACATTTAAAATCATCTGGTGCGACCTGTATTATCTAGTTTGAGGATACAGTAAAGTATAACTCGGCCGTAGAACTACCATATCATTTTCTCTTCCATGACATAAGATTGAATAAAGAAAGTGGTCGCATCAAAGAACTCTCAAACTATTCTTGTTCTTGTTTCCAAAATCACAGAACGAAAAAGGAAAATGCAGTAGCAAACAGTTTCTTTTCGCCTCCCGCATTTTAATAAGAAATGAACGGTCCGTGCGATCGTTAGGAATTGCAGAAACATACCTCCTTAGCTCTGTTCTCGATCAGACCGATCACGTAGCTCGATCTCTCGCCTCCGTCGTCTTCCATTTTCAGTCTCCGGTTGATCTCAGTTCAAACAAGTTCTCAGTTCCGCGCTTCAGTTGCGTTCTATTTAGAGAGCTCTAACTCCCGTTTGCTGCTGGGACTTGGAACTGTAATTTTGGCGCGAAACAAGAGGCCTGATGCGTGTAATTTTGATTTCCAAGAAAATAATTAATTAAGAAGTTTGAAATTCCATATTTGTTATTTGTTGATACTTTGTTGACTACTATTTATTTCCACTAAAACTTTTTTTTTTAAAAAATTAAAACATCTAATAAATGGATTAAACATTTGCTTTAAATAAATAAAAAAAAAGTCGGATGAATTTTACAGCTAGAATCTTTATTGTTGACGGCAAAAACAAAATTATTTTCAAAATTAAATTAGAATTGTGTAATAATTAAAATAACATATTTTAAAAAATAATAACTGTTTTATAATTATGAAATATTATGTGTTATAGTTAAAACAATATATTTTTTAAAATTACATATTACATTTATCATAAATATATGAAATAATTGCCCTGAACCAAAATAGGTATATTATAAAGGTACAAATTCAAAATGAAAAATTAAATATAGTCCACGACCAATTTTTATCAAGGAATTCATATGCTGAACATTTGTACACATCTTTTATTTTTCTTTTACAAAAATAAGAACCGTTGGGAATGATCTCACAAATTCAATACTGCTCTCAGAACTTGCCTACTTATCCATGACTTCGGCAATGGTGACAAATCGACCCGTCTCTATAGAAAGTTGTGCAGCAACTCCCATGGCGACTGATATCAGTCCATCCTCCAAGTCCACTGCTGGAACTAGTCGATCCTTAGCTCTAACTGCAGACAAAAAGTTGAGGTGTTCCAAATAGCTAGACCCATGATGCAGACCTTCGTACCTAAACATAAAAATTGGTTTCAGATAAAGTGCTTTTATTGACTGAAGAATGTGTAGGAGTCGGGCTATATGTGTTAGAAATCACAACTCTCTACAATAGTATGATATTATCCACTTTGAGTATAAGCTCTCATGGTTTTGCTTTAGGTTTCTCCAAAAAACCTCGTACCAATGGAGACAGTATTCCACACTTATAAATCCATGATCATTTCTTGAATTAGTCGATGTGGGACTTTCATCATTCAACACCCTTAATCGAGCCTCGACTCCTTTGGAGTCTTAGTCATTTTTTACTATGCCTTCGAGGAGGCTTGACTCCTTTTCTTTTGGAGTCCTTTGTTCGACATTTGAGAATTTACAAATATATTGGCACGACTAAGTTTAGAGCATGGCTCTGATACCATGTTTCCACAATAGTATAATATTGTCCACTTTGAGCATAAGCTCTCATGGCTTTGCTTTGGGCTTTCTCGAAAAGCCTCGTACCAATAGAGATAGTATTCCTCACTTATAAACCCTTGATCATTCCCTGAATTAATTCAGCCGACGTGGGACTTTCATCATCCAACAATATGCATATAAAGAGAAAGCAACTGACTTGATTCTGCCATCCTCTGCTTTCAATGTTTCGACGCCATCTCTTCCAGAAACTCGAGTGCCGAAACGGACAATGTTTTCCGGAACAAAAGCCTCTCCCTGTCACAACGTTTACATCTTTCATTTTTTCTATATGAAAGCGTAGAAGCTCCGCTTATTACGGAAGGCATTTAAGGGGAAGTTTTTTAAATTTTGCACATGGTGGATGGGCGTGGAGAGATCTTTACCTTTCCAATATCACCAACAACTGATATCTCTTGCTCATTTTTGCTTCCCTCGGCAAACATACAAAGATCCAGCATTCCTCTTGAACCATTATCAAATTCAACTATTACATATGCATTGTCAAGTATGTCTGGAACCTGCCCAAAATTTAAAATGTGAATACGAAACAGGGTTGCTGTTTTGGAGAATGATGATGAAAGAATTTAGTTAAACTGAGCTGTAATAAGTTTGCAAGGGCTGTGCAAGTGCCAAGCAGTTTACCTTCCCATCATATATTTCATCTTTGTGATTAACATCAATGGCTCCAGATGCCATCAAACGGACAGGATTTGCACCTGCAAACAGCCTCATCAGATCAAAGAAATGGCAGCATTTTTCCACCAGAGTCCCCCCAGTATTAATATTGAAACGGTTCCAGTTGTTGACCTACTAGAAGAGTGAGTCAAAAGAGCAAATTTTAACTTTATAAAGCATAAACATAAAAGTTTCAAAACTGACCTTAACCAAGAAAGGAAATCGATGTTCACGAATCGCCACCATTTGAACTTGTCCAAGATTCCCACCCTTAACTATGTCAATCAGTTTAGCAACTGGTGGCATGTATCTGTATTCCAGTCCAACTTGAACCAGAATACCCTCCCTCTTTTTTGCAGCCATTACAACCTATTCCACGTAGGAGCAAATATATTTTCTTTTACTAAGTTGATGTTCATAATGCTACAACGCGTATGCACTAATAACATTCAAGTTTGTGTCTATTTGTTCCCTTAACTTCAAGAAATATCTAATAGACTACTCAACTTAGAAGTTCGTAACTATTTGGTCTGTAAACATTAAAATGTATCTAATATGCCTATAAAATTTAAGTTTTGTGTCAAATAGATTCCTAAATTTTCAATTTGTGTTTAAAAGGTTCTCAACTTATTAAATACCTTTTAAATTAGTAATTTTTAAAATTTTCAAATACGCTAGAAAATGAAATGGCTGACCTCTTTGCAGTGAGCAACTGTTGTACATAATGGCTTCTCCACAAGTACATGATGAGGTCTAGGATGGTTGATGATATCCATTAGAATTTGATAATGAGTCATATTTGGACTTGAAACAACCAATGCATCACAAAGTGCACTATCCAAAAGCTTCTGGTGCCCTGAGAAAACCTTTTCAAACTCTCTCTATCAGAAACATTACTTAATTGAAACCCCTGCTTATAGAATCAAGAGTTAGTTTATAGCATTTGGGCTATTTGAAGGATAACATCTCGTCATTCAAGAACAGTTGAAAACGAAGAGAAGAAATATCACTTGACCATACTTTTGCTCTAGACCATATCAGAAGATCAGATGGCTCTAACATTAACTATTTGTGATATTTAAATAAGAGCAATCATGTTCTTATAGCTTCGTGATGGTCAATTATCCACCATTCATTTAAGAAAGCTAATAAAAATTAACTGTATAACTATTTATAAAAACTTTGAAATGTGAGATTTATAAGCAAGATTGTTGAGGCCCAGCTCATCATGCTTTTTTTTTCTTAATATATAGATAAGAGTAAAATCTCTAGTTATTGTAATCAGAATTGGATTAGGAGGTTCTCCATTTTGCATAAAACCAGAAAAAAGACTGTCACTATAGAGATTTTCAATAACTTCTTACTTCCTCTCAAATAAGAGACTAATCTGAAGATTTCGAACTATGGAGACAATCCAGAACCAGACTGTGACGGCGCATAACACAAATCTAACACTACTTTCTCTGCATTTAGATTTGTCCATTCGAAACTTGATTTCACTTTACAAACTTCCAAGAAACTAATTAATGATCAAATCCTAAAAACAAAGTTGAAATTTAGATTTAAGAAAGAAATTCAGTGCCATTTCCAGCAGTTACCACAGGAACAGCAATCAAATCAAACACTCTCGACAGTCATATCCAAGATTAAAGACTACTCCATACCTCCATTTTCCAGCCAAGTGAGTGAGCTAAATCAAGGGCTTGTCGCTGTGATGAAGCGTGCGGATCAGCTATGGCGACAACGGCAACGTCTTGATCGCGAAGATGGTAGAGATTAAGGAGGTGTTCTCGGCCCATCATCCCCACTCCAATGATTCCATACTTGACTGTAGCGACAGTAGCCATGGATGAGAAGGAATTGCTTGAAATTGCTTCCCGTTTAGCACCTCAACAATTCAATGGCTTTTCTCTTTGTAGCTAAGGCTTGCGTTCAGTCGATGAATGACATCTGTAGCCCTTCTCAGCCTGTGAGTCTGAATTGCAATTGGATATTGTCGTTTCTTGCTAAACGAACACGACTCTCTAAAATGATATGATGTTATCGCTTTGAAAGATATGTTGTTATCGCTTTGAATATAAGCTCTCAGAGAAAGTATCATTTGATTATAAACTCATAAACATTCCTTAAATTAAAGTTGATTTGGGACTTTCATCATCGAACCTTTTTATTATTTATAGATTTTTTCTTTATTTTAAAAATATTTTAATTTTTAACCAATTTTAAAATACAAAAGCAAACCTAAAATATCATTTTGATATTAATTCAGGTTTCATTCTATTATTTTGTGCTTGAACTCTTTTATTTTAGGTGGAATTTGATTTCAACTTTATTTTAAAGTTAATTTTTATTAATTATTTCTTTTCAAATGGGCAGAAGCATAAAAATGGTGAAATTGGGGATCATGTAGCAAATTCCATATTTGCATTCTGCCCCTCGTATTCCTCTCTTTCTCAAGAAGCGTGTCTACTAGAATATTTCCATACTCAGACTTGAAGGCTGAAGCTTGCAAAATGGAAGGAATGTGAAGTGAAGCCCACGACACAAAACCCATAGCTCTCATAAATTAAGGCTAACCCACCGGTTTTCGTCATTCAATTGGCCCAGACAGTGCAGTTTCTGGAGAAAAAACCTGAATATGAAATTTAGGGCTCCGCAGAGGATTTTCATACTGCCTTCAACCAGTCAACTGAATTGTGTTCGCAACCATGGTCGAAGCTTCACTTCCGTTTTCAGGAGGATTCAAACTTCCGTACAAGCTGGAGCTTCTGTTGGCGGTGGAAATGGCAGTTCTCAAGGTAATTGTAACTAATGTATTTGCAGAATATGCTACTTCGGGTTTGCAAGTTTTCTATGATCGATTGTATATTCTGTATGTTGAGTTTAGATTAAGCATTCGAAGCTCAGTGTTTGAAGTATGTGCAGGTGACTCTTATTTGGTGCCTGGTGCGACGGTTGCAACTTTACTGATGCTCGGTGCACTTCATGCTCGTCGGCTCTATGATGACAAGAAGGTATCTATTATACAATCGATAAGATAGTAGGATGAATACAGTTAGTCCTTTGAACGTCTTATTACTTCAGGAAAGAAATTGGTGGACCTTTTTATCTGGTTTTCCTTCTTACTTTATGATAATTAGCTTGTCTTTTAACTCTTTTTGTACAACAATCACCTCCGCATGATATTGATTTTAAGCTGGGTGATTTAGTTTGCAACTGAACCATTTACTGGTCTTAGAAGTAAGATGGGACGAATTGAATTAATTTTTTTGGAAGAAATAATCTGTGTCATGTTAGATATAGAGATGAATGGTTTTGCAGTTTCAGAAATTAACTCTCTATCTTTGTTCAGGTTGAAGAGGCACGTGAGAGAGGCATAGAGCCTGAATTCAAGTCGGATATTAAAGTACAACATCTGCATAGTGATTATTAGATATTAGAAATTTCTGTTGTTGATGGAAGTATATTGTAACCAAGTAATTCCGAATTTAATCTGAATGTTTTCCTTCACGATTGCAGGCAACTTTTTTGAGATTGATACCTTTGCGTTTAGTTTCAAGATGTTGGGGTCACTTGACTAATGTGGTGAGTAACCTTCCAGTTTTTTAATTATTATTATTATTTCTATTTCATTTTCTGATTTCTTCTTTCAGTTCGAAAATATTCATGTGATATGATCCAGCTAAACTTATTTTTTCGTACGATTCTATCCACTACATTTCTTGGTAAACCATAATTCTTATACTAAACTGTATGAAGAACCCGTTTGACTCATTTCATCTGTGAAATGCATACATTTGGTCCCTTTATTTATCATTAATATAACTACCAGGGAAAATTTTCCTCAAAGTGGAAGGAGCAGAAAGAAAGTAGAAAAGAAAGGGGGAAAAACTGAGACTACATTCCTTTACCATTTCACCCATATTTGTGTAGCATCTCTCTTAAGAAATTGACTTATCTTTGACATTAATGCCATATTTTACCTATAGGGTAAAGGTTCAATATTTCAATGATTTTTTTACCTACTGTCGTAGTGTTGTCATTGTATATGACGTGATGCTAATTTGGTTTAGGAACTTCCTGTCTGGCTGCGTCCATATGTTCATAGGGCATGGGCTCGAGCATTTCATTCAAGTATGATTATTTACCTTATTTTCTTTGGTCTTTATTTGAATTGAAGTGAGTTTTTGTTTCTATTTCATGTAGAGTTACAGTTACCATCTGTTTCCATTTTAGATTTAGAAGAAGTAGCTCTTCCTCTGGATGAATATGCTTCATTACGTGAGTTCTTCGTACGTTCCTTAAAGGAGGGTTGCAGGCCTATTGACCCTGATTTACAATGCCTGGTAACTGGTAACCAGCATCTTGAACATTTAATCATCCTCAAATTTTTCATTCTAAAAAACTTTGTTTGACATGACCTGTTAATTGTCATTAGGTTAGTCCGGTGGATGGTACAGTTTTAAGATTTGGTGAACTGAAAGGAGCAGGGGCAATGATTGAGCAAGTTAAAGGATTTTCATATTCTGTCGTTGCTCTTCTTGGTGCTGGCTCTTTACTTCCCATGATGGCGGGAGGGGATACCGATGAAGAGGGCAGTGGACAAGAAAATAGTTCTGCTGATAGTAGGAAAAAGTCGTGGTGGAAAATTTCTCTGGCTTACCCTAAAGTTTTGGACCCAGTCTCTACATGGTACATATTTTCCTCTTAACGAAATCGTTGTAAATATTCTCATTGTTACGTCAAGCTCATCAATATTATCGTTGTAAATGAAATCCTCATCACTGTCCTTTAGTTCCTCTTAGTATTTGTTGAAGTTTTAATCTTCTCTGAAAAATTATGTTCATTATGGTATCTTGCCACGTGATTGTATTTACTTATTTAAATTGTAAATTCTGATTATAGCCCAGTGAAAGGTCTTTTCTACTGTGTAATATACTTGAAGCCTGGAGATTATCATCGAATACACTCACCAGTTGATTGGCAGGTTCTAGTTCGGCGCCATTTTTCAGGTCATTATCTTATTGAGAAAGCTGTTCATATTTTGAACAACAAAATGATTCTCACGGTCATGGTGTTGTTGATTTTTCTATCTAGGCCTGGTTCCTTCTTGCATTTGTTTTAATGAAAGTTTGATTTTTATCAGAAAAGAAAGGGATTTTATTCATCAATCATCTGTTTTCACTTTCTTACTATAATTTTCAGGTCACCTATTTCCTATGAATGAGCGCGCTGTTAGAACAATAAGGAACTTATATGTTGAGAATGAAAGGGTACTTGCCCTGGCTCTCTTCTTTTTCTCTCTCCTTTTATCTAGAACTGCTTGGTTTATTTACTAGTCTGTATGGTTATGAACTTTCTTTATTTGCTTCAATTAAAATATGCAATCCAAATCCCATGAACCTCATTTCGTCAAGAAAAATCTATAAATTATCTAGAAATCTTTTGACAGTTACGATCCCAAATCTCTTTTTCACAGGTATTAGGGGTTCCTTAATTATCGTTGGCATGTTGCAGGTTGTGCTTGAAGGTCTATGGAAGGAAGGATATATGGCAATTGCAGCTATTGGGGCGACAAATATTGGATCTATCAAGGTAACTCCTTGGAGCTGATAAATTGATAAATTCTGAATTCCATTACATGAAAACCTGACCTAGCAGGGAAAATTTGGTTTGGGAAGCTGAAACCACATATATAATGTCAAATGCAATTCTCTTTTCTATTGGTTTTGGCTCGGTAATTTTCGGTGTACGAAGATATGATTTTAGACACTAAATACACTATTAATAAAAATAGGTAACAGATACGCATGCTCGCATCTATAAACAAGTGATACATCGCTTCTCTCCTCTTTCCCCCTGTTGTGGGGTCATGTTAACTTATTCTTTATTTGAATAGTTACAATGCACACTTGTACATCACCAGCATTTTCTTCAAGTACGTATGCGGAGATCATAGGTTGATGTGATTTAGTTGCTCGTACACGAAAATTCTTTGGACTTAATTCTGAAACTTTGATGTGTCAGCTTTTCATTGAGCCAGAGCTACGGACAAACAAACCAAAGAGAGGAAAGTCACTCCATTCAGAGCCTCCTGAGGAAAGGGTATATGAACCTGAAGGTGTGGGGATAACGCTGAAGAAGGGGGATGAGGTATGGATGCTATGAAATTGATGATGTCAAGTTTTCACTTATTTTTGTGGGAAGAGGATTAAGAAAACTCTTTCAATAGGCTATAATAATGAAAAAGAAAATAAAAAAGAAAACTATGATCATCCAAACATCCTGCAAATTGGTTCGAACCCTTCTGCACATTATCTTGATTAATCAACCGTCTAAAATTTTGAAATATTTCTCTAGAACTTAACTACTTTCTGTCGTCTATGATCATCCAAATTCAACCAGAAAGCTTCATGATGAGTGGTTACTTATTAAATTTTATATATGTTTGAAATAATCGAGCTTTGATGTGATAACGCATCCAGAGTCTTAGATTTATTTGTTAACTTTGGTATCTGTCAAATGCTTGTAGGTGGCTGCTTTCAACATGGGATCAACAGTGGTACTGGTCTTCCAGGCACCTGTTTCTAATTTACACAAAAATGGGGACTCCAAATCAGAATTCAGGTTTTCTATAAAACGTGGAGACAGAATACGTGCTGGAGAAGCACTGGGAAGGTGGGCATAATTCCTACGAGACTCGGCTTACTCGAGGACTTCTTTGCCTATTTCCTCTAATTATACAGTACTCAATTCAATTCTTAATGAAAACAATATCACCGTGAGTCAGCTTCAATTGATTCTTCTATTCCAACCTTTCTGTCGCGTATTTTTCATTCGAACAGTGATCAGTTTCAAGAACTATACAAACAGATTTCAGTAATTATGTAATAGATTAGTTTTCTTTCCAGACAGATCCTCCCCCCCCCCCCCCCCCCCCCCCC